ACTGGGCACAAGTTTATTGGCGTCATTGACGTTGCTGGCGCAGTCAGCGTCGAAGTCGGCAACGACGTCTGCGTCGCTGCGTGTGCAATCAAGTGTGCAATGCAATTACACAAATCAACACAACAACAAGCGCACATTATATGCTATTATAATAAAAATAAACATAAAAAAACAACAAATATAGACACAATTTGGGCGTAGTTGTTGATTATTACTTTTTGAGTTGTTTTGCTTTGCATATTGTATTTATTCACACTTCCGTTAGCCTTTGAAATTGCAAAGTGTTGCTGGACACATGTTGCTGCACAGCTCACGCTTTGCGATATCGATAACCGCGTGGCGTTTACTGTCTCGCTCTCTCTCCCCTTTTTCGTTTGCCTTTGCTTCTGGCACTCAGCTTGTTGCGGGTTTATCTTGTTGTCATTTGATCGCCTTTTTGATTTTTCAAGTTTGAGCTGGTTTTTTTTTTTATTATTTATTTGGTTGTTTTGAGTGTGTATTTTTTCTTCTTGTGCTGTGAAAGTACATAAAAGGCATGTTCGCCTTATTTCTTTTTTTAGAAAGGCAATTGGCGACATTTTTGCAACGTCAACATGTTGCTGTTACCAAGCTGCCATTTTGTATCTGTGCCAGTTTTCATTTAGGATCGTTTGGTTGTTGGTTTTTAGCACTAAAAGTTCTGCTCGCTGAGCATAAGTCATGTTATTGTATTATGTAAAGTGAAGAGGGTTTTAAATATGCTATAAATTCGCCCGCAATCTGCTGGGCAATATGCACTCAAGCATAACTTGAATTCGCTCAACTATTGTCGCCTGCAGCGAAACTTTCTCCATGGTTCTGCCATCTTCTGGCAACAAGCATGCAATTAGGTAGCAACATTGTTGCTGTCGTTGCTGTTGTTGACATTTTGAAATGCCTATGCGTACATTGCTCTCATTTTGAGCAACAAATATTTGCACAGCTCCTGCTGCTCGTCGCCCGTTGTCCGTTGCCGTTGCCGTCGCCCGCAACATTTGCCTTGTCAACATGTTTATTGTTTCGCTTCCCCTTAATATGCGCTTTTCGCCGTCAACATTTTCATGGGACATAACCTGTTGCTTCTGGAAATTATGATTATTTTATTTAATTTGTATTTCTTGTATTATTTTTCCTTCTTCGCGTCTTCGTGTCTTTCATTTCGAGTGTTTCTTATCTTTCCGCTTCCGTTTTGAGGTTTTAAAATATTTTTGTTGCTGTTTAAAGCTTTTATCGCCGCTGTTTTTTTAAGGCAACTCTTTTGTTGTCGGCACCCTCGACTTCCGCTGTCCGCGCCGCGTTTTCACCGATTGCAACATGCAACATGAAGTCCAATTTACATTCGCATTCACCAAAGCTGTGTTGCTCCAACTTTCACCCCCAGCTCCGCCTACGTCATTTTCTTTAGCTTCAATTATTGTTTACTTAGAATTAAACTAAGAGTTGATTTCGCGTCAATCTCGGGCTGCAATTATTAGTTTACAGCGTCTGCACGTGCAGCTGTCGTAATACTCCCATACATGTCGTAGTACACTCATGTCTATGGTCTGTCAATAGGTCTTATCTTTTGAATAGCAATTGCAATAATTATGACAGCTTTTATTTATTTTACTGACCCAGTCCAGAGGAGGAACAACGGCAATATAACCCCCAGCCGATAACCGATAATGAGCGAGGGCATATGATAACTGGAGCTAGGCAGTGCTTGGCTCTGCTGATAAATAGCTCATGTCATGCCTCTATCGGATACTCCCTCTTGGAGCGCTCTTCTTTGCCTTAAATTTGCCCTTAAAGCATTGTAAATGCTGGAGTATATGTAGGAAAGTAATATGCTGACTTTCATATACTTTATACTAAACGCTTCCATAAATTCCCATCAAATTTCAATTACGCGCAAACACCTCACATATAACGAGGCCATCCCTCATGCCGCACTCCTCCCCCAGCTTCATTAGCTAACAAAAGTTTCCTTGTGTACGAAAGGGGAGAAAGGGGAGCGAGGCTGCTGGCTTTAGCTTTTGTTCTCTGCAGCAGCTACCGTTACGTTCAACACCCGCATAACACGCCCCCTACTTCGCCTTCGCCCATTTTACACTCTGTTGAGTCGCGGTTTATGCAACAAGCTGCGGCTAAGGCAAACGGCAAACGGCAAAAGGCAAAAGCAACAGCAAGACGAACAACAGCGACAACGACAACCGTTACGTTTCGTTTTTGTTTGCCAAAACTGCGTCACGTTGCAAGTAGTGGGGGCGGTGGCTGCGACGCGTCGACGCCCGCTGCAGCAGCAACTGCAGCAGCGATTTGCGTAAGCGAATTCGATTTATTGTGCAACTCAACAATAAATATGCAAATAGATGTCGAACCGTTAGTCGAATGAGGGCGGCGGCGAGTTGCAGAGGGGGGCTGCCGACACGTAACTTGTTGCAGCGGGTGGCATGTGGTATGCAGCATGCAGCATCCAGCATGCAGCATGCAGCGTGCGACATGAGGCAGCGCCACGTGAGTCAAAGATGCAAAGATTTCGTTATACAAAATCCTCGGCAAGTCCTTGGCCACTGGCGTTGGCCTTGGCTGCCTGCAGCGTTCAGCCTTCAGTCGGCGGGGACGGCGGGGCGGGCAGGCGATTAGCTGCTTCGGTGGTTGGGCGCTTGCTCGACTCAATTTGTGCGATTGTCCGACATTTGACCTTGGGTGCAGATACTGTTGCTGTTTGCATGCGTCTTACGCTTCATAGTTGTGCCAGAGGAGAGACAGCTAGAAAGCTATATTTATCGCATCAGTAGCAGCAGATGAATCGATATCGACAGCGATATCGATAGTCGATCGTTCTCAGTGCTAACTTGAGTTTATAGGAATTGAACAGTGTCCCAGTTTCTATGTAGTTCTACTTGCTTTAGTTATGTAGCATAGTACGTTCCCCTACAGGGTATTTACTAGTCCCATTGGAATGGAATTTGTCCATTTGTAGTTTACCTTTCGATTTCAATTTGGCTTTTCGAATTGTGAGCTATTCCTCATCGGGCTTTGCATAATTTATTGCATTTAGTTTTCAGTCGCTGCGCCATAAATTTTCAGTCACATTCAAATGCTCTGCGCCCCCACTCTGCCGTCAGCTGCCACGCCCCCTGCTCGTATAGGACATTGGCATCGCGTGTGTCCTTAAATTTCGTTTTGATTACAACTCGCAGTCACATTTTGTGTCCGGCTGATGGCAGAAGCCGCAGGCCAAGTCAGCGCCCGCCATGGCTGCCCTTTGGCCCCCAGCTGCGGGCCCCCATCCCTCGGCTCCTTTGGCCGACCTTCAGCCGGTTGCCATACAATTTCCCAGGCTTTTCCGCGCGTGGGCTCGCCCCGCCTCGCCTCACCTCGCCTCTCTCGTGTTATAAAAAATTCTTTTTATTTTCCGTGTTCTCTCGCTGTCCTCCTGTGCGCTATTTTTATGTCTTTTTTCTCTCTCGCATTTCTATTGAATGTCCTCTGACGCAAATTAATTAAATTATGTAATAAGCAGGAGCAGGGAGCAGGAGCAGGAGAAGGGGCATGATCCTACTTAACCAGTTCTAAATTTAGCTGCAACAAAGCAAAAGTCAACGATGTCTAATATAAGGTAATTAGTGATGAGAGATTGCCATAGAGGTTGGGGACAGGTGGAAGAAGAGGAAGAATAAGACAATGGTTTGATATATTGAGTTATGAATGAAGAAATTAGCAGAACTTAACTTTGACCTACGCACACTAATGAGAAATGCAGCTGTTGCGCACTGGGCGAGCGTCCAATTGGAACTTTTGCTAATTGGATTGCTAGAAATGGTAAACAAGTCAATAAACAGAAAGGCACAATGGTATATATAGAGTTCTATTTGAACTATTGTGACAATCGAGATGATATACCAGTTCGTTTCTTTTAACTGGTTTAGGAAGTTACAAAAAAACTAATAAAAATGGATATTTTAAGAGCTTGAATCATCAAAATTCGATTGCAGACTTCCTCTATTGATTAAACAAAGAGCAGCTTGAACGTCTTTGCGGGGCGTGGCAAAATGCCTCTTTATATCAAGCGAAAATCATCTAACTCTTGAGAGATGCATCACTGTAGAAGGCCTGAGTATTCCATAAGGCTGAGTGTACTCTAAACCATATATATATATATGTATATGTATAGGTGTATAAGATTTAATTTCGGCTACTGTGATTAATGTGACAATGAGCTGGAGCAGAAGTAAGAATACACTCATGGAGCACTCAAGATCTGATACGCTCGATAGAGCCTACTCTGGCCAGGTAATTGTGCCGTTTAGGTAGAAATTTGATGTTGCCCAGGCTGAAATCGAGTTAGCGGTTCCAGTTTTATCAAATATCTATATTTATATACAAACATATACATATATATATGTGTATGTATGTGTATCTGCACATATACATATATAAGTATGTATAGCTGTTTAAAAACATGATGACTCTCGGATACCTGCAACAATGGCCCACGATCTGCCTGGGTAAATATACCATATACATATACATACATCGGCTTCCTTATGGCACATCTGTATATATAAATAGATTGATAGAGATATGTATTATATATGTCTTTATTCAGGTAGAATACGCTTTATTTCCATTACAATTATTGTGACTTGTCAGCCACATTTGCGACTGTTTCAATTGGCCAAAATGCGCGTTTGCGATTCGCGTCGTTTTCTTTGTCAGCGCTGCATGACTGAGAGATATACTCGTGCATATATAGAGGTGTATATATGTGCATATGTATATACGTCTACAGTCTGTATCGGCGCATGGTCTGCCGTGAGCTGCTCGCATTTTACAATTGCCTGAGCTGTGGCACAGTTGGCGCAGCTCGAGGAGAATTTCAAAGAGAATTTATAAGAATGCTATCCTCTGTGATTAGGCTCTGGCGTAGGAGAGGTTGTTTCGACTGCAGAGATGCCCTGTCCACATAACTAATATCTCGTCTCTTTTCATTTTAGATTGCGATTGCGGCTGCGTGGACTCGTACAACGGCCAGGCGCAGGCAGCGGCAGTAGCAGCAGCAGCAGCAGCGGCAGCGGCTCACAACAATAGCAGCAGCAGCAGTAGCGGCGGCAGCGGCAGCGGCAGTGGTGTCAACGGTAACGGCAACGGCAACAGCGGTGGCAGCAGCAGCCTCAAGACGGCGCACGCAAAGGTTGCCACATCGGGGGGGCATGCCAACACGCAGCCCCCCAGCAAGCGCTCCAGCAGCGGCGCCGATGGCGACTATCAACTGGTGCAGCACGAGGTGCTCTACTCGCTGTCAGCGGAGTATGAGGTGCGTATATGCTTGCTTATATAGTAGGGTTAGAGTTCAAATGAGCTGGTGAACTAGTTCATTGAGCAATTGAGTTCAGGCGGTCAGTTTGTCTGGGTATACTGAATGGAAGAGGTGCTCCATTCCATATAAGCTAATAATGAACTAGTGAACTAGTGAACTTGTTCAGTTTAGTTAAATGAACTAGTGAATAGTCAGTGTAATTAATGTTCTTCCCCTCTTCGATTTAGGTCCTGGAGTTTCTGGGCCGCGGCACCTTTGGCCAGGTGGTCAAGTGCTGGAAGCGCGGCACTTCCGAAATCGTCGCTATCAAAATCTTAAAGAATCATCCGTCGTACGCGCGCCAGGGCCAGATCGAGGTCTCGATACTGTCGCGCCTCAGCCAGGAGAACGCGGATGAGTTCAACTTTGTGCGCGCCTTCGAGTGCTTTCAGCATAAGAATCACACCTGCCTGGTCTTCGAGATGCTCGAGCAGAATCTCTATGATTTTCTCAAGCAGAACAAGTTCTCGCCGCTGCCGTTGAAGTACATACGACCCATACTGGAGCAGGTGAGACAGGCGCAGCCGATAGAAATGCCATTAGTCATATTCCCTTTCTCTCTCTCTTAGGTGTTGACTGCCCTGTTGAAGTTGAAGCAATTGGGCCTGATTCACGCCGATTTGAAGCCGGAGAACATAATGCTCGTGGATCCAGTGCGTCAGCCGTATCGCGTAAAGGTCATTGACTTCGGGAGCGCCTCGCATGTGAGCAAGACCGTCTGCAACACGTACTTGCAGTCGCGCTATTATCGGGCGCCAGAGATTATCTTGGGCCTGCCGTTCTGCGAGGCCATCGATATGTGGTCGCTGGGCTGCGTGGTGGCCGAGCTCTTCCTGGGCTGGCCTCTGTATCCGGGCAGCTCTGAGTTTGACCAGATCCGCTATATATCGCAAACACAGGGCCTGCCCACGGAGCACATGCTGAACAGCGCCTCGAAGACATCGAAGTTCTTCTATCGGGACGTCGACTCCACGTATCCGTTCTGGCGCTTGAAGACCACCGAGGAGCACGAGGCGGAGACGAACACGAAGAGCAAGGAGGCGCGCAAATACATCTTCAACTGCCTGGACGACATCGGGCAGGTGAACGTGCCCACGGACCTGGAGGGCGGGCAGCTGCTGGCCGAGAAGACGGACCGGCGCGAGTTCATAGATCTGCTCAAGCGCATGCTCACCATTGACCAGGAGCGACGCCTCACACCGGCGGAGGCGCTGAACCACAGCTTCACCCGGCTCACCCACCTGGTCGACTACGTCTACTGCAACAATGTGAAGGCCTCGGTGCAAATGATGGAGGTGTGCCGGCGAGGCGATTTCCATACGTGAGTGAACAGCCGGACTTCTCCTCTATATCTGCATTCACTAACACTTTCTCTGTTTCTTTGCTCAGCGTACAACCTGCGCCCACGCTGGTGACCAACTTTGTGCCCAGCAGCACGGAGAACATGACCTTCACCATCAACAACCAGCTGACCAGCCAGGTGCAGCGCCTGGTGCGCGATGGCCGCCCGCTGGCCTACGAGGGCCTCTACCAGATCTATGGCGGCCGCAACGTGGCCCGGCAGTACCCGCAGGCGCGCACCGACACGTTCCAGCACCAGCTGGTGTCGAACATACTCTGTCCGCCCTCGTACCAGGCCATGCCCAGTCCCACCAAGCACGTCGTTGTGGGCAGCGCCACGATGCAGCCGCCGCTGCAGGTGCCGCCGCAGCAGTATGTGAACGTGCCCGTGCCCGTGTCCATGGTGGAGCCCAGCTCTGGGCAGCGCATGCTGCTCACCAACCGGGTGCAGGCCAGTGGCGTTGCCTGGCCGCAGACCGGGCGGCAGATGGCGCTGGTGCCCTCCTGGCCGCAGCAGGCGCCGGCGCATTCGCTGATCGTCGACTCGACGTCGCTCTTCAATGTGGAGGAGATCTATCCCAAGCACCATCTCAACTTGCCGCGCAACGATCTCAAGAAGGAGTCGCCGGCTCATCATCTAGCGTGCGTATCTAGTTGGATTCAGCTCCAGCTTCAACTCAAACTAATTCCAATTCTCATTCCATTGCAATCCTGCAGCAAGGGCAGCTCGTATCGTGTGCCGCGTCACGAGAAGAAGGAGCATCAGCAGCTGTCGCCAGTGAAGAAGCGCGTCAAGGAGAGCTCGCCGCCGCATCAGCAGCGCTACCAGCGCGCCGCCCACGTTTCGCCGCAGTACCACGCCCACCACAACTGCAACTATGGCGGCGGGGGAGGAGGCTATGGCGCAGGCGCCGCTGGCACCGTCGCCGCCAGCTCCGCCTCATCAGCGAGCAGTGAGTGTCGGCTAATCCATTGGTTACGCCGCGTTATAGCCTTTTAGCCTGATATCGCAGCCGTATCCCAGATCGGTCTGGCACGCGTTTACATAGTTAACTCTTTGTCTGTTCCATTAATTCATTCAACTTGTCGCCCCGTTGAGCAGTTTTTTCCGTTGACATTTTCCCACTTTATGTTATGTATATGAAATTATTATTTATTGAAATTAATATGTATTAAAGTCAGCTGAGATTGCATCTAAGTTGTATTATGTAAGTAAGCTATGCCTGTTCCACTTGCTAATCTCCTGTTTGCCTTTCAGACATCATCAATGCCAGTGGCAGCAGCTCGTCGAGCTCGCACCACCATGCGCCGGCGGCCCACGCCCCGCACGGCAGCAGCAGCAGCAGCAGCGCCTACAACAGCGCCAGCCACCACATTGTGGTGAGCAATTGCAGTGGCAATGGCGGTGGCTCGGCTGTCAGCTACCACGGCAGCAGCCAGCCGCCGCTGCACGCGCACCAGCAGCCGCACGTGAAGCAGCCCACCATCACCATCCACGACACGCCCTCGCCGACAGCCGTCGTGGGCGACGTGATCACCATATCGGACAGCGAGGACGAGGGCGCCGATGCAGCCGTGCAGCCAGTCAAGCAGCGCGCGCATGCGCAGTCGCAGACGAGCAGCAGCCTGATGCACCAGCAGCAGCAGCAGCAGCAGCAACATCCGCATCAGCAACATCAGCAGCAGCATCAACAGCAGCAGCACTCGACGAGCAATTCGCATTGCCGCAGCAGTGGCGGACAGCCGTTGCACGTGCAACACCAGGCCGTTAATTATGGTAATGCTCAACACAGTTCCATGTCCAACCCGAACAGCTCCGCGAATGCCAATGCCAATGCCAGCAGCAGCAGCAGCAGCAGTGGTCAGCGATTGGCCAGCAAATGTGGCGGCCAGCTGGGCGGCAGTAGCGGAGCTAATCATCATAGCCATCATAGCCATCACAGTAGTCACCACAACAGCAACAGCCAGCAGCAGCAGCAGCAACAGCAGCAGCAGCTACAGCAGCAGCATCACAGCAGCAACAGTAGCATTAACATTAACAATAACAGTAGCAGTCAGCAGCAACAGCAGCAGCAGTTGCCGCCGCCTCCTCCTCATCACAGTAGCAGTAGCAGTAGCAGTAACAGTAGCAATAATCATCATCATCATCATCATGCAGGCTCGCTGGGCGGAAGCGGAAGTGGAAATGGAAATGGCAATGGATACGCTGCTGCTGTCCTAGACAACTGCGCGCAGCAGCAACAGCAACAGCAGCAACAACAGCAACAATTGCATCAGCAACAGCAGCAACAGGCTTGCTATCAGTCAAGCTCCCACAGTAATGGCAACGGCAGCAACAGCAACAACAACAATAGCAACAACAACAGTCATCACACCACTTCCAATTCTGCTTCCACTTCCAACCAACAACAACCTCAACCACCTCAACCACTACACCACCATAACCATCATGGTCTACAGCTCCCCCCCGCACCCATTTCCATGAATAGCACCACAATACACTCTTCCTCCGCCTCCTCCACGTCTGTTAACCTCTGTCCAAATCCAGTAGCTGCTGTCCCTGACATTCCCTCCTCCTCTGGCCCTGCCACGTCTCAGTCGCATCTCAGTCGTCATAAGCCAACGCAACAACAGCACGTCCATCTAGTAATTCCATGCGTTACCGTAGGTGATCACGATCCGGAGGATGCGCGACGACGTCACCACGCGGCAGCCGCCGCCGCTCTCTCCGCACCCACTGGCAGCAGTCCCAAGCATCATCATCATCAGCAGCAGCCACAGCAGCAACAACAGCAGCAGCAGCAGCAGCAGCAACACCACCATCACCATCAACAACAGCAGCAGCAGCCACCGCCACCGCAGCAGCAGCAGCAGGTGCAGGTGCAGCCGTCTCAGCAGACGCCACACTATCAGCCACCGCCGCCTCAAGCCCAGCCACAGCAGCTTCAGTCGCAGCCCAGCATCAAGTACGAGCCGGGACAGTCGCAAAAGAAGCGCATTCTGGCCATGGCGCAGAGCGAGTGCAACTATCAGCCGCAGCAGCCGCCGCAGGTGCAGATACAAGTGCAACAGCAGCAGCAGCAACAACAACAACAACAACAGCAGCAGCAGCCACCGCCTGTGGCCAGCCTGCCGCATATTCCAACCAAGCAGGAGCCAGCGGAGTTCTATCCGGACTACCCGCCGCAGCAACCGCAGCAGCTGCAGCTGGAGACGAAGCGCAGCTCTTGGGCAGCTGGTTCGAGCACGGGAGCGATGCCCCTGGCACATCCGAAGCGCGAGGCGCCGTCTGTGGCGCCCGTCAACTATGTGGCACCCACTGTCGCGCCACCGCTGGCACACTCGAAGAGCAGCTCGAGCAGCTCCTCGTCGATCAGCGCTGCGGCTGCTGCAGCCGCGGCAGCCGCTGCCGCAGCGGCCAGTGTGGGTCCGCCGTCGTGGGGCCCGCCCCAAGTCTACCGGCAGCCATCGCAGCCACCGCCAGCATCGGCCTCGGCGGGTGGTAGTGGTGGCGGTGGTGGCAGTGGCAGTGGAGGCGGTGTTGCCACACAGCCGCCCGCTGGGCCGCCGCATCATCATCACAGCAGCCACAGTCATCATCATCACCACCAGGCGGGCACGCCGCTGGGCGGCTCACCGTCGTCGACAGCCGCCGCAGCCATGTTGCAGACGGACATTTACGCGCAGGGCGACATGTACCGCAGGCCCACCGTCTATGTGTCCCAGGCAGCGCCCACTTATGCGTACTCGAATCGAGCGGTGGTCGCTCCACCACCGGCCCACAACAGCTCCAGTCGACAGGTGGGTGTAATTAAGCTACCTATGGCATTGCAAGCAGTATTCCTCCTCCAAATTAATGCATGTAATTTCCTATGAATTGTAAATACAAAAGTTATCGAAGTGAGATTCTAAAGGGTATTTTGATCTCAATTATGGGATATTGTGTTTACATGATTGTTAATTATCTGGAATTACATTTGCAATAAGCACTAGAGTAGTTGAAAGTAATTCAATTGTAATTATTGATATTTACTCAAGTCTATTGCAGTATTACATGACATTAACATTGACTGTCGCCTTTCACAGGTCTTACCATCCCATCCATTGCCGGCTCACATTCAAATCCCGTCGCAGTATAGCCAATTCGGACCATTGAGTCCTGCCCAGGTAGCCGCCAGCAAGCATGCGGCGCACTTTGCGCCCACCAACATATGGTATGGTGCTGAGTAGCTTCCTGATGTAGGGTGCACGAGGGTTGACGCGAGGATGCCAGAGGCCACCACTGACAACAACAGCAACTACAACTACAACTACAACAAGCACACAGCTTCCTTTCCTAACTAACCACACACAGAGCGTAGAACTTGTTTCTTGATTGATTGATTGATTGATTGATGCTCGAGTGAGTCGATAATGCCAGCTAGACATCAATTTAAACTGGTTTTCTATTTCACTTATTGTAGATCAAAGAATTTACTAATCAAATGCTCTTGTACTTGCGCTCGTTTAGATCTTTTATGGCCTCGGCTGACGGCGACGACAACAACAACCACGATAGCGACAGCAACAACAACAACAACTTTGATGAGCTGCAGGAATTGCAGAAGTTGCAGCTGACGCAATGCTGGTGGTTTATGATGCTCATGCAGCAGAGCATCATACAGTACAACAGCAACATGTTGCAAGAGACTCTGGAAATTGCAGAAACAGTAGCAACAGCAACCACAACCACAACAGCAGCAACATCAACAACAACAACAACAACATCAGCTACAAGTGTTGCCCCCAGCAAAAGTCGCCGCAAACGCTGAAACCATTTTAGATGTTTATTTTGTGTTTTCTTTTCTTTATTATTTTTTTTTTAATATTCGCCAATGTTTAAAGATTGTCGATTGCTCGATAATTCAAGTGCGAATTACGATTTATTAATTTACATTAAGATTTCAATTTTTTTTCCAATTTTTAAAAACAAAATGTTAAGCATTTTCTACACGCAGTTTGGCGTGTAAAGTGCAACAACTTACACACACATATGTAATTAATACACACACACACACACACACACACACATACATACATACATATATATATCTATATATATACGCACACACGCAACATAATCGAAGTTGATTGAAGATTTTCTCAAAGCAAAACAAAAAACTAAAGCGTTTCACTATGTGTGTTGTATATTTTTTATTAGAGCTACTAAGTGCATACTATATACTATATACACCTATATAAACGTACATATATAAAACAAGAAAGTAAAGTACATAAACTAAACTAAACTGAACTAAACGCTAAAATATGTATTCGATAAAAACTTATGATACTAAGTGCTAAATGCAAAACCCATACATATATGTAAAACTGAAACTAATTCTTAATACATACATGCATATATATATATATATATGTATATGTATACATATTATTATATCTATACTACACATACACATGCAAATTATTGCGATTATTCAAGAACAACATTTTAAGATAAACAAAATTCGTGTTTGTGAAACGACAAGAAATTACTTAGTGCTAAATGCATAGTAACATTTTTAGACTCTTTTTTAGCAAGTACCTCAAGAATTACAATTAAATATGCAACAAAAACAACAAAAACAAGCAACAACAAAACAAAACAAATAATGTTATGCAAAAAATTGCCTTTTTACAACAAATAACAAACAACAACAGAAAAACGATATAAATTATTGTAAACAAAAACAAAAACGTGAAAAAAATAAATAACTTTAGTGAGATAATCATAAACAGCAAAAACAAAAAAAATATGATACCGCAAAAACCTTACTAGCAATCAAAGCATACATGAATATATATATACTTATATATATTTATACATAAACAATATATAGTAGTTAAACCTAGCGATATCTAAAAATAACTGATAACTGAACATGCGATATATGATAGCTAATAAACATAGACATAGACAGACCTTTTTTTTTTTTGATCTGTTACGTTAACCAACACTCACACACACACTCTCATAGGACTTACACTCTAAGAAGCTAAACCTACAAAATAGGAATATATATATATAGGTATACGTGGGCTTTGTACAAACGTATAACAAATTAGATGCATTGTATTTAGCAATAAATTTATATACATATATATAACGGATTTTAAAATCAGATCAGGTACCAGGTCAGTGTTGGAAAAACACCCAAGCGTCATTTACTTATAAAAGAGGAGAAGAGAAAGAAGCAGAAATTAATTATATTTTACTTTGTCTCGCCCTACAGGTTGGGCTTTTATTTTACTCTGTTTCTCTGCGTTTAAGTTTTAACTGTTTTCTTGTATGAATTTTGAAACAACAGCAAAAAGTACAAAAAGGCAAAGCAATGTAGCTATAATCGAACAGTTTGTATATTTCTAATTTAGTTTTTGTATTTCCTGTTTTGTGTCTTTTGAAATGTTCAAAAACAAACGCAGAGATTTGATTATTTTTTTGTTTGTGTGACAACTTTAATATATACTAACAATACATGATACTACTATCAACTATCTATATATAGACATATATCAATATAATGTTTCTTGTTAATTAGGTTTCTTAAAGAGTATTGTGTAGTTAGTTGTAAAACTTTTTTGTCAAATCCTTTTATATGTGTTTTTTGTTTGAATTGAATTAGAACTGTGGGCACTTCCTATTATGATACTACAAATATATATAAATATATATACAAATTGTGTAAATCCAAGCAAATTGTAATTGAAATCTATAATTATTAATGCATGCGTATATTGTAATCCAGCTGTGCACTAATTGTAATATTGAAATCTAATTATATATATATATATATGTTTATAGATATATATATATGTATCCATAGAGAATTCAAGCAGATCTATTTGGTAACGAAAGTCTAGCATATAATTATTGTGATGTAGTTTTTAAAAAATCGATGCAAAACACAAATTGATGTCGAAATTTTTGTCCTTGTCGTAATTAGCCAGTAAATAAGCAGAAATAAACAAAACAAATTACGAATTACAAATACAAATTACAAATAACTAATTAATTGTAAAGCATATATACGTCATATGCCTATATAATAATATTAATAATCTATGTTACCTATTTAGTACACAAACGAAGAAAAAAAGAAAACAAAAAACAATGACTAAGCAAAAAGGCAAACAACAAATTTTCTTTTAATTTTCAAGTTTATGTTTAATTAGCAGCTGCTAGACGTTTAGTGTTGTGACTTTAAATGATAAATCGTAACAGATATAGTAAGACACCTATAAATCGATCCAGATCTAGATCTAGATGCAGCCGTTGCTGTCAGTTTCGCTTTTGAGTTGTGTTTCTCGGATGTCATCTTGAATGGCTTTTGTTAAAGCTTTTTATAGATATTTTGTGGACCACGAATAGAATATATATTTAACAAAAGTCTTTAAAGCAAATCGAAGCGACTCAAGCTTGTCGAGGTTTATTTACTTTTTTATCTAACTAACTAATATATGCATAAAATACATAAACTATAATTAATAAATTTAAACAAAAAACCTTTTCAATTTCTACTCAATGTGTTTTTTAATATATATATATAGAGAAGCAAAACAGAAAGATGCGCTTTAAATGTAACAAAAACGAAACGTTAATAGACTTAAAAAGAAGAAAATTTAAACATATATATAACACTCACTAAACAAAAATAAAAAACAGACATAGACACATAAATATATACACATAAATATATATATATAAATATCTAACTAAATTTGGTAAATAAGTGAAAATTTTAAACTTAAAGAGAAATTCAACAAATGTTTTAACTGTGTAGCCTTAAAAGAAAATCAATTTACAAATGAACATTAAATATTATATGTGTAGCACACACATGTATATATTATATACTTGAGATATCATACGATTGAACATACATATTTCTAAATGTACTAAAAGTTTATTTGCCTATTTTTTTACACATATAAATACATATACAAAAATATATAGATTTTTTTTCAATTTGTTTAAAATATTTTACTTTTGTATTTCACACAAATGCATAGATTTTTTAAATTGTATATCCCACACTCATACACACACACACACAACATAAATTTACTATTAATATAAATGTTTAAAATGCTGTCCTAATAATATACAAAAACCCACAACAACAAACATAAATATATATATACGATTAACGAAAGCATATTTTACTTATTTTCTTTTATAATTTCCTTTATTTTTCCATTTTAGTTTAATCAATGAAAAATCAAGAAGCTAATCAAAAGTTTGAACAAAAAGCAAATCAAGATGAACAACAAATACAAAATATATATCCCACCAACAAAATTAATTTTAAATATGCATAAGAAGAAAAGGGACATTTTATAAGCTAACTGATATATCGAGCGAGATATAAAGCTATATCTATACATATATCTATATTTAGAATTTGCTTTAGTTTATCTTAAAGCTCATCATGGATTGCTTAGGCTTTGGCTACAGCAACAGCTATCTCCCTTTCTATATACATATATATATATATATACATATATGGATGCTTGTATATATATAATTACCTAATTTTAGTTTACTCTGAATCAGGTTTCTATAGTTGCCAATAGATTGTTAATTCTTTTCCAATACACACGCATACACACACACACACATGTTGTTTGACCAATTCAAAAACGAAAACGAACAATTTGATGAGCTTTTCGAAATAATTTGTCGCTTTGGAATGTGTTTCATACGCAAGTTATATGCATTTAACAAGCTAAAACACAACAACAACAAATACCAATACCAATACCAATACCAATAATAATTTAATAAACAACTAGTTATAGTACTTAAGAAACACCGATCAACAATTTGAATTAGATTTTGAATGAAACGAAATGGAAACAGAAACAAAAAAAAATTAAAACATTTGACGCTGACAAACAAGATTGATAAGAACCCGTCCATAATTAGATTTTGTTCTTAAAAAAAAGGAAAACAACAAAAACAAAAACCGAAAACCCCAAAGCATATGGAAACGAGTAACACCTAGTTATATATAGATATATCTAAATATGTAGAGCCAGTCAAGGCTTTGTCGGCGCTCGAAAATCGTGTTAGATTAGGAAGGCAACCAAAATAATTCTACGCTCTCTCTATGTGTTTTTTCTTTGACTCGTATATGATATAATAATATATACATATATATATCAATATATTAGGTATATAAATCTAAGTTTTGAGGGCTTTTCATAGCCGCCTGAATGCATTGAAAATGCGTAATCAGGCTGAAGTCTATAGAAGGCAGCAGAAGGCACACAATCCCGATGTAGTTTCATTAGTTTACTCTGAGCTGAACCCACCTGATGCACAGCACTCGATTCATTCTCCATGGATATTTCTTCTTGGCTTTGAGTATTGAGCCAGGCCTTCGTCTTCGACGTCTCTTGGATTGAGCTCTCAGGCAATCCAATCTGAATATCGAATTTGCTTCACGATTTCCTTGATAATTCACTTAGTTTTTAGTTGATCTCGATTCAAGCTGCTGGCCTGTAGCTTGGTCCAATATCGTCCCAAGTATATGCCATGTAGCGTTCTCGAGACTACTTCAAATTCCTTGTCTCAGGTATCCTTAGAGAACTGGAACACACAATAAGACCTTTTTATCGATAGAACATCTGCATTATATGCCTCATATAGCAAGCGAATGTCCCTAAGGTCCGCTTTTCATCAAATGAAAGCTTGACTGGAACAAGAAATAGGAATAAATTGCTTACACTTTTAGTGAAGACAAGCTGAGATTAATAACTAATCTTCAAGCTTCTCTCAAGCCCTCAAAACGTGGTCCTATGCCTAAAATTATATTGCATTTGATTAGAACGTTTTGCAAAGTCGAATCTTGAAAATGTGTTTCGGATTGATATTTAGATGTTTTAAATAAACAAAACAAAAACCAAAAAACTACATACGGTATATTTACATAAACAAAACAAATACAAATACATATTAAAAGCGAAACGAAACAAAATTACAAATATATATACACTATATTTTATTAAATACAAACTATTTCGAATAACCAAAAAAGATAAACAAAATGTTGATGTGTGAAATTTATAAGACTAGCATATTTCCTACCTAACAAAGTAATGAATAAATACGTTATGAGATATATATATATATACAGATAACTATAATATGTAAATTAGCAGCTAGTTCGATTCCACGATTCCAACTAAAGATAATGAAATATTGAATTTAATACAAACAAAAAACAAAACAAAAATTATGAAAAATCGTCTAACAAATTGATCGTACCTTTTTGCTGATTTAAATGGAATATATATATACGTGTATATATATAGAATTCTTGTATTCTAGTGTGTAAAGCGTGATGCAAACGTAATCGAAACAATATGTTTTAAATGGATATACATAACATATATATATATGAATAATATATACATATATATATATATATATGATTAGCTCGTAATGCAACTTAGATGATGGCACTTTAATGGGATTTGCTTTTTATATATATACATATGTGCGTATACATGCTGTACTAGAGTTAACTGAAGCAAATTTATATCGTATATAGCATATAGATATAGCTGTGTGTGTGTGCGTTAACTTTTAGGCATTAGTGTAACTCTTGCGATGTTTCAGAACCGAAAAATACGAGAATTTAAATATTTTTATATGCAAAGAATACGAATGGAATCGAATCGAATCGAATCGATAAGCCGATAGCCAATAGAACATGTAGTTAAGGGCAAACATAATTGATATAACTAAAAACCAACAACAATTACTGACAAAAACAACAACCAAAGAACGATAATCAAAGCGCGCACACATTTACGATATTTAGATTAGTTTTCGTTTTCTTTTTGGGCACCAAGTCTTATAGCATAACCGCTATCCCCTCACACTCACTCTCTGTATTACATACATACATATAAATTTTCACTTGTAGCATGTACCTAAGCTAATATATATACGAGTACATAGTTATATATTTTAGATATCTAAGTGCATGGGTTAGACAACGAATTGCCGGGCAACAAACGAGGGAAGAACTTAACATGACTAAATTGAAAAGGAACGAAGAGAGAAGCAGTAAGCCAAAGTGGCAGTCGGGTGTCATCGGCTGCATAATACTCGTTTACAGTTCACTTCAGAGAGCTACACCTAACAGGGCTGAAAGTAGTCTCTCTATTGATTTCCAGTCCTAAGAACTGAGGCAATGCACTGAGGCTATACATTTCTCTAGACCAAGTCCTTGCACTACGTAAACGAGTATTGTTAACAAGAAATGTAATAATATTTTGGCTTGTAAATTCCCTGGGCCTTAACCTCCCCCCGCGCCAACACAAAACAAAAGGAGAAAGATTTAAATGATCTTTCGATTAGCAACGATTTGATATGATTGTCTTTAGCTAACTTAATCACATATGATGAGAAATCCAAGCCAACTCACCCAACTTATACACACTTAAAAATTTACTTATTTTCTTAGTAACTTAACCATGTGTACTGAATGTTTTTTCTACTTGGTGTCCTTTACATGAAAACAAAAAGAAAACATAAATACTTATATATATAAATGGAGAAAGATCAAGCGAGAGTCTTAAGTGTAAGCGTTCAAATGAAATACTTCTTATATCAAACCAAGCACACCGATACATTTAGCATATATATATATATATAACAATATCTAACAATATGGAGCATGGCATACGATGAGTATATCGTATGTGTGTATATATTATATATCAAGTACTAACTATAAAGTTATATAAACTTATTCAGATATGCGTACCTTTTTAAGCAACTAATTCAATGTTAATGTGAAGAAAACATATATATCGATAAATATATATACATATATATGTGTACGTGTATAGGGACTACCCCCATTTAGATGCGTTAGGGGAAGGCATGCAACACACCGTCTCAAGACCAAACCATTAACTTTAACACAATGAGCCGCAAATTTGTATTTATATATATACATACATACATAGTATATATATAGTGAAGATCGAAGAAAAACAATCGAGTTACGATTCAAGCCGTTAAATAACAGAATTTTTAGTCAAGTAACAGAGTAACAACAAATCCCATTGATAGATAATTTCGATAAATATGATATAAGAACTTTTGACTTTTATGGCTGTTTAGAGATTTTATAATAAATATACTTATGATATAAAACAAATACACACACAAAATACACCTATACCTACACACACACAAACATTGAATCTTTTGCCCCATAGAGAACTTTCCCCACTTTTGGTGCCCCAAGACGTGGCAATCCTCAACTTTAACTCTTAAAATCTTTTGCTCTTTAAACTCTATGTCTCTCTCTCTCTATATATAAAAAAAACTCATAGATATACAGCTCCATGTCTGGAATCTGGCATGATCTAAGCCCCGCCCTACGCTCCGAGCAGCGATTATTTGTAGCCTCTAGAGAAAATACTAACGGCAGAAAGAGAAGGAAAACAAATTTGAAAAATGAAATCAACAAACGAAAATTGTGAAATTTAGTGTCTTTACACTTTAAAGAGTATATACAAAATATAAAAAATAATTAAATAAAAGTAAACTTTACCAAGTCGAATTGAATGTAGATCGGGTTACGGCCACGAAAATTGTATGAGAGCAAACTCACAAGCACACACACACACATAGAGATACACACACACAGTTATAGAGATACGTGAATACAAAATACGAATTACGTCTACATACAAATTATGATAAATACTCGTACTTATGCCTAAAAGGATAAACGTGTAGCTAATATCTATGATCAAACAAAATAAAAAGCAAATGAATTACAAATAAATGTCTATATATTATGTATATGGAAAACATAAAATACAAACGATTTAAAAAATACAAAAAAAAAAAAACATATACTAAAAAAAAAAAAACAAAATTATCAAAAGATAAAATTAGTGTTTTAATGAGTTGAAACTTCCATGGAAGACTAAAGATGTAGCCTATGTAAGTATCCAAAAACCCGGTATATTCACATCGCATTCTCTAGTCTAGATGCCATTAGATCAATATCAATGAAAGAGAGCATGCAAATTATATTCGAACTAAATTTTGACATGGAATTTAAGCAAACTTTGCTATTCATTCAAAAATCATATTTTACTTTAGTCAAAAATAAAATACAAACAAATTGAAATGGAAATTAATACCTGAAGGAATTGGAATGTTAGCTTCGACTCGCCTGAATTTTTTCAAATCGAAAATATCCGTTTACTGTTGCTTTATAGCTCCATTAGCTATACTGTTGTCAAAATTGTTTGTTTTGTCTAGGGAAGGAAATCGAGTTTAGTAAGTAGACGATGTATGTTCAGTCTGCAAAATTCCAAATCGTCTTTAGTTTGCTTAGAGAATCCACAAATAATTATTAGCTTACCAAACAAGAACGAAAGAAGAAAACAATCGACATATATATATATGTACAAAGTGTTGATATATATATATATATATATATATATAGCGTGTATCTATGGTGAAGAATTGTAGCAATTACAATTATTGATCATAGATTTCCGATAAGTGAGTAGCTTGCAGCGCGCAGCTCGCAGCTCGTAGCTCGTAGCTCGTAGCTCGTAGTCGCGGTCTGCGTCTCAGCAGCAACGTGCTTTGGTTGTTGCTGTTGCAGTTGCTGCTGCAGTTGCTAGTGTTGATTGATTACACGTTATGAATCGGCGTCTCTATGTTGTTGTTTAAGCTGATCATGGGCCAGACACTATCGGAACCGGTGACCACCAAGGACTCGTCGCGCTGCTCCAACACCTTATACTTAGTGGGCAGCAGCTGCATGCAGGGCTGGCGCGTCGAAATGGAGGATGCCCACACACATATTCTATCCCTGCCCGACGATCCCAATACGGCCTTCTTCGGAGTCTACGACGGCCATGGCGGTGCGGCTGTGGCCAAGTTTGCGGGCAAGCACTTGCACAAGTTCATTACCAAGCGGCCGGAATACTTTGGCAGCTCCATCGAATTGGCCATGAAGCGCGCCTTCCTCGACTTCGACCGCGAGATGCTGCACAACGGCGGCTGGGGCGAGCAGATGGCCGGCTCCACGGCCTGCGTGGTGCTGATCAAGAATCGGCGCCTCTACTGTGCCAATGCCGGCGACTCGCGAGCCATTGCCAGTGTGGGGGGCGCGACGATCGCCCTCTCCGTGGACCACAAGCCCTCTAACGAAACGGAGGTGAAGCGCATTCTGGCCGGCGGCGGTCGCATCGAGAACAATCGCGTCAACGGCAACTTGGCCCTGTCCCGTGCGCTGGGCGACTTCATGTACAAGCGAAATACCAGCAAGAAGCCGGAGGAGCAGATTGTTACCGCTAATCCGGACGTGACGACCTGCGATATCGACGACACTTGGGAGTTCATTCTGTTGGCCTGTGACGGCATATGGGATGTGATGAACTCCCAACAGGTGGGTGACTTTGTGCGCGAACGCATCGGATTCGGCATGCAGCCAGACGTGATCTGTGAGGAGCTGATGACCTACTGCCTGGCACCGAATGCCTACAATTATGGACTGGGCGGCGACAATATGACCGTTATACTCGTGTGCATGCTGCACGACAAACCCTACGAGGAGCTGAGGGTGCGCTGCGGCTTCAAGGCAGGTGGCGTCGGCGATGCTCTTCCAGTCCTAAAGGTAGCTATACCCCTCTCTTTCTCTCTGTCTATTTCTTTTTATATACATATAATTGTTTTGTCTTCAATAGTATCAATTGCCGAGACCTATCAACAGTCGTCACCTGGGGAGTGCCTGAGTTGGCGTCTTTGGATCTGAGATTTGCAGACGTTTTTTTTTTTCATTTTTGTTAATCGTTGATGACATATTTTTGGCATATCGCATACCACTCCAAGTTTCATCATACGCCAATACTGACATGTAGTTTTTTACCTACCTCACCACATACATATACACTTATGTATGTATATGTGTACATGATCTAAAGTTTTGGTTAGCAGAACTTATCCTCAGACATATCTCACAGGCCCTACCCAAAAATCAAGTAGCTCTTTAAATTCCCAGTCGAATACGCTATTATTTGTCAATTTCAAAATAAAATAACTTTAAAGGCAAAAATGCAGAAAGCATTGATACACTACTACAAGTTTGCCTAATAAAGCGTTAAGTTAAATGTGGAAGTCTTGAGCTATAGATGGCGCTTTCTTTACCTGTTTGACGAAATTTCAATTGTCTTTCGGCTGTAAATGATTTCAGCTGTCGAATGTGCAGTTATGTTCGAAGTTCCCATATTTATACCTGATTTATATATGTATATTGTATATTGATGCGGCGAAAGGCAGAAAGCTCATTTCATTTTTTATTTGCAGTAAATATATATATTTGTATATAAATATAAGTATATATATGCTGTGTGAGATGGAGCATTCAACTGTAGATGGCGCTTTGCCTGCTGAGTGCTAAATCTTGATAAACATATTTATTTTTGGACTATGGCATCGGTTTAAGGATGCAATATAACTATTGATAGACCAATATATACTACTTGCCTTAAAAATCATCTGCTCATAGTTTTAGGATCAATTCAATGATGTGATATACAGCCACATTCCATTAGTCCCATTGCAATGTCTGAACGCCCCCCAAAATCATCAACAACTTGTTTATTTTCAGGTGGATCTCACTCGTTTAATTTGAAATAAATGTGCATTCTATAATAATACATTATGTACTCTCTATATATACGAAAATATATATAATTAAGTTGATATATATACATATATGAATGTATATATATGTATATATGTGTATGCATATACAATATCTTTGGTCTGTTTTAGCTGTAGTTTGGTTTTGTGTAGAGTATACAAAATGCAGTGTGCTTTGCTACAACCAAATCGAGAAAGAAGGGAAATAAAATAAGAAATTGAACAAATTATAGACAATAGAAGTAATACAAAGAGAGGCACACAAAAATGTGCAAAATAATAGAAAGATTTGACAACTATACAAAATATATATGTATGCATGTATAATAGATTTAGACATATATGCATATATGTATGTGTGTATGCGTGTAGAGGCTAATTAGTGTTTTGTAGTTATGTCAATTTGTTATTGCACCACATGCGGCCGTAAAGTGCTTAAAAATAACGCGACACATGCCAGACCCGACCACCCGAACACCTGCACCCGGCACCCGAGGCAGGAGGTCAGCTCGGTCCGGCCCGGCGCATGGCGCACTCTAAAGATACAAGACTAGAGATTCGCTCGTTTCTTGGACTTCCGTGCCGAAAGCAGGAAATCGCAATGCCTTACAAACAAAAGAATTCTAATTACTTTGTAAGTATATATGGCAAAAATAATATTTATATATATATGTGTGTAAATTCTAAAATCAGTGATATATATATATAGAGCTTTACATATATATATATATAATGTGGTTTAGTGCTAAAAGAAAAAATACTGGTTATATGTTTTTCGCAAGTCTCTAAATCCTCGTTACAACTAGACGTAGATCGATTGAGTTTCTATTTCTGATTCTGTTTCAGTATCTGTCTGTCTGTGTCTCTGTCTGAGTGCGTGTTTTTTTGATTGATTGGAATCGTCTACTCTCTAACGGTACTTTAGCTCTTTTTCGTATTTATCACATATTTGTTTACTACATAAGCTCCTAGAAAATCGAATGCAAATTGGGATTTTTATATTGGTTTTGGTTACGTTTTTGGTTAAGAGTTTTGGTTAAGACTTTTGTTTTGTGTTTTGGTTTTGGAATTTGGTCATTTCCAAATTTTAAATCTCTCTCTCGTTTGTCTTTTTACAGTCAGCTGCTGGGCTCATGTTCTGTTCTGCTGTTGGTGTGGTGGGCGTGGCTAGGCGACCATTGCATAGTTGCCGGTCAGCTCGAAGGGACTCGTCTTGGCCGAATGCGTGAAATTGTTCTTGGGCGAAAAGTCTACGGGCTGCTCCTGTTCCTGCTGCTGGGCTCGGTTCCTGTCCGCATCCTCGCTAGCCGGGGCCTGATGGGCATAGGCCTGATGATGAGGATGATAGGGCAGCGCTAAGGGCAGCGACAGTGGCAGCAACTGCTCCTGGTACATTGCACCCGGATGCTGGAGCATTGTGGGCTGCAGCAGGCCATTGCGCTTATAGCTGTCGTAGTGCTCCAGACGTCCGGGATAGCCATAGGCCAGAGCCTGAGCCTGGGCTTGGGCCTGGCGGCGATCCTTCTTCTGCAGCAGCTTGTGCGCCAGCGTGGACTTTGCCGAGTCCGGCAGAGCCGCTGCAGAGGCAGCTCCCGCCCCTCCTGCCTCCAGTTGCTGTGATTGCTGCTTGGGCAGTGGCAACACTTGGGCCGCACGGGCCGGCGCCTCGCTGCGATTCTTCATGCAGGAGGACTCCTCGTGCTTGTACAGATAGGACTTCAGGGCGAAGGCCTTGCCACAGCGGGCGCACGTGTGCGGCTTGGTATTCGAATGGGTTTGGATGTGGGCGCGCAAGTTTGACTTGTCCGCAAAGGCCTTGCTGCAGACGATGCACTTGAAGGGCTTCTCGCCCGTGTGGGTGCGTATGTGGCCTTGCAGCAGCCAGGGCCGCGAGAAGCACTTGCCGCAGTACTGGCACTCGCAGCCCTGGTTGTGGGTGCGCACGTGCATCGAGAAGGCGGGCATCGAGACGTAGACCTTCTCGCAGAACGGACAGTGGCGCGCCTTCTTGTCCATGATTGACCTGGGCAGAAAGAGAGCTCGAATAAGTACACTGCGATTGTGGATGATGGAGTCTGGCTCACCTGTGTGTTTGTCTATGGCGTGCTAGATTCGAGGACGTGGAATATTTCTTGCCACACTCGGGGCAGATGTGCTCATCCTCTGGCGAGCTTCCGTTGCTGCTGCTGCTGCTGCTACCGCCGGCCTGAATGGCTGATTGCTCGCTGGTTTGGCTGCTGCTGCTGCTGCTGGCGATGCTGGCGCAGGAGTTCGAGTCGGAGATGGTGGAGCGACGCAGTTTCCTGCGATCGAACACCTTGTGGCTGTAGGAGTTGTAGGTGGAGTCATCATCCGACGAGGCATAGAAGATGTTGTTGTTGCTACTGTTGCTGTTGCCGTTGTTGCTGTTGTTGTTACTGTTGCTGTTGCCGGCCATGTTGTTGCCTTCGGCAGCTGTGCTGAGCGGTCCAGCCGCCAGTGTCACATTCGCCAGCTGCGTCAGATTGTACAGCTCCTCGGGTATGGGCGTGGTCAGCTGATCTTTGGTCATGGCGTCTGCAATCGAGCAGAGCAGAGCAATAGAAACAATAAATTCCATGTGACGTATAAAAAGCAGAAAGCAACCTGCTAACGCGTAGCAGATACGTCATAGCAAATATAGCAAGTAAGAAAGCTCTAGTCGGCAATGCCCAGCTAGCAAATACCCTGGTCTTCCCGAATTTCTTATAACACTACATTATTCTATTTCGACAGGTCATGACAGCTTCCACTTCTGGGAGAGTCATCTTTAGCAGCGGCGATAAATATTGCATCAGTATTCATCATGAGTCATTGGAGGTAAGTACAAATCTATTCCAAGCCAATTCGGCTCTCTCTGGCATCTCTTGTATTCTAACATGTATTTTATATTTTCAGAATTTAACGCTTCTACAGCTAAGAGAGTCCCACATCACACAGCCTCGGTTGCATATTGTTTAGCAGAGATAGTGTAACATATTCGCTTTACATCTCTATATATATATATATAATGTTAAACAAGGCCTGTACATACTTTTAGTTATTATATACATATATGCTTATAATGTAGATTTAATTCAGCACAAACTATGTAAATTTAAAAGAAATAAACAGCGTTTGTCAATAATTAAACTGTGTTTTTATTTAATATTGGCATTTCTATGTTGGCAGTTAATTTTCAAAAGTTAACTGTCATTATACAAAATATCGTTGCATACCTTCGGGGGCTTACTGCAGTTGCGATCTATTTGAACGGCTATGTACAGAAGTACCACTACACTATCAGATCACTGCTATTTAACATAATTATGCAAATGGTCTGTAAATTAACAGCACATGAACAGTACACTGCTACTATGCTGTTAAGCTAAATTTTTCGCTGGGCCGTTGAAATTTGAGCAAAATTTTGGTAAAGTACCAGGCGAACAGAAATGAGCAGTAGGGTGAAAAATGTTACTTAACAGTGGTTGTACAGAATTCTGTTAAGTAACAGAATCCTGTTAATGGTATGTTATCTAACATAACAATGTTAATTAACATAACTATGTTAGGTAACATAAGTCTGTTAGTTAACATAACAGTGTGCTCAAAGTGCACTGTTAACCCTTTTTTAACTAGAATCTGTTACCCTACTATGCATTTCTGTTCGCCTGGTACTTTACCAAAATTTTGTTCAAATTTTAAAGGCCCAACGGCCGCAACAGCCGACTTGTGATGCTGCAAATTTTAAATTAGGGACGTTACTGGGAATTACTGCTGCTATTGCCAGTTGCATTCGAATTTCGTAAAATTAACGGATTTTTGGGTTTGTTGGAGCTACGTTCATTGCATGCTGTAACCAAGAATGTGTGAGACAACTAGCTATATGTGTTCTTTCTGACTGTTACATAGACTTTCAAAAAATCATTATACCCTCATTTCCCATTTTCAAGTGCTCAGGGTATAAAAATAAATCATAAACCTATTTATTTATTTATACAAATATATGTATGTACATATTGCGATCGTTAATTTTAAATATATTTCTGCTACAATTTTAACATCTAATAGACAAATTAATGGGTCCCAGGCTGATCAATGCTTAGGTGGGCCAACAGAAACATCAGGAACAGTAACAATAAATGGTCTGGCTTTCATGTTGGCCTGCTGTATAGGGTATGCAGAATTCGTTGAGCT